GTATTATTAAACCTCTGAATAAAAGTACAAAGCCTCAATTACTAATTGTGCACTCAGCAATATTCCAGCTCCATAACGGCGGTCTGTAAATAATCGGTCCCGTTAGTCGCCTTTTACGACAAGCATAGTCGCCTGTTACGGCAAGCATGGGTTGCCGAAGACCTATCCCCCCCCCTTCGTGGTGCAAATTTGCTTCTGGAGTATTAATACTCACGTGCGCAGAACCGTTTACATGACATAATTATTTACTTACCCTAAGTAAATTTACTTACGTAAGCAAGTATACTTATGTAAGTAAACGTGTGCATGTAAATGAGCCTGAAGAGTGCAGAGTTGCGTCCCTTGGGCGTGCCCGAACCCAAAACGGCTGAGACCTGCATCATTTCGGGCTTTTGTCCTTCATTAATCTGACAGTGATATAACTGGAATGTTGCATACTGGGCACAGCGGCATTACACCCAGGTCACTCACATCTTAAAGAACTGAGCTGGGGCCTTGATGTGAGTATAATGGTGGATCAATTTCAGAATTGATATCCAGCAACCCGAGCGTCTAACGGGATCGGGTGGTCAGACTAGCTGATTTGGTTGAGTTCATGTCATCGTATCCCAATTGATCGATGCCCAAGATGTCAATCAATGTATTGTCTGGCCCAGACTTGATTATTTACAGACCACCATCATACGGCCGGAATATTGCTGAGTTCAGCTTTCAACAACAAAGCATTATGTATAATTTCTTGTCATTGCAATCACCTTACGAAGAGAATAAAAACAAAGTTTTTTTCTCTAAAGCATGTAATTATACATGTTAGCGTTAAATACTTAATATCCTGGACTTTTAACAAAATTAGCATTCAAACTTCTCACTAAACCAACTGAGCCAAAAAGTTAATTTTAAACTTTAAAAAAATAGTATTCCACATATATATTTCTATTCGTACCTTCCCAACATCACTTGTTAGCCAAAGCTATACGAAACCCATAAGAAAGATAAAAAAGAAAAAGGATTACCCCTACTCATGCAAGACAGGCGTTTATTCAAGGGCTTGTGGCGTATTACTTTAGGTTATTTCTGTGGGAGCCAGGAATCAAAGATAGCGACGCCGAGCATAGATAGCAGATAGCATGACCAGCGCCTATAGAGAGATGGCACTCTGATTATATATACATCGATTATATACACATGTCTCAAGCAGTGCTCTCACACAAACACGTCCCGGGATTACGGATTAATCAATGCCTACAAGTCGTTAGAAAGAGATGTTTTGAGAAAGATCTTGGTTATAAAAAGAAAACCATTACAAATGAACAGAAATGTAAATACATGGATATTATCGTCAAGTTGAACTTGAACATTCATTTTTTTTCTTCTCCAAAATTAAAGGGAGCTTGGGTCAAGAGGCCATCCACTTCCTCTGTGAACTTTTATGATATATATCTAAACTGCCAGGCAAAATTAAACATACACCTATGTGTTTTAGTGGCTATTAATGAAACAAACACGAATTGGTTATTCGATGGTGATTTGGGCTGAGACGAGTAAACATTTACTACCCGGTACCCACCCCCCTATTACCCGACCCTACCCGGGTACCCACTGTAGGTCTCAGGAGATGTCTCAAAATGTTCGAATTGGAACATTTATAGCATAGCCCTGGCATAACGTATTAAGATACATGTATTAAACAATCTGGTCATTCATATACTGAAGTTGAATTAAGTTATATCTTTATTCAACCATATGAAAAACAGTAGCGTAGCCATACAGTTCTAGATAATTTTGGTCATTAAACAATATATCACGTGACTAACCACGGGTCCGGTTAGTCCTGTGGGTACCCGGGTCCTACTCAGTACCCACCCGACCCGGGTACCCGAGTTACCCGTCCCAGCCCTTATGGTGATGTATTTGAAAGTGTATAAAGTTGTGTTCTGGTCTTAAGTTTGTAGTGCTTCGTCTGTTTTCAGCCTCGTAACGTTTCGAAAACATTTTTTAAATTTTAAATTTAAATGGAAATTTCAAGTGTATACTTTCTTTTGCCCTGCAGTTTATCTAACGGTTTATGGTTTTTATCACATATTAAGTCTACGTTTCACACAAGGCATCAAATACAACCTCTAACTGTCTAGACCAATCCAGAAAATGGGCATCTGATCACTGAACATGGAACCCCTTGGAGCCTTGTAATTGGTCTTTGTTCAAATATTTTGATATATTTTTCCTTTTATCAGGAATTAACATGCTCGTCTTTTTATCAACTGATCACGCACCTAGGTGTTCATATCTTAGGTGAAAAGGGATGGAAAATATTTCAGAGGACCCACAGATCTTTCTGCTATAATGTTGAGTTTCTCAGGAAACCCAGAAATCCGGTCGGTGACGGTTGGGAACGTGTACATACAGTTAATGGGAGACTACAGGTTCTACTACACCAAATCAAATCAGCCTTCAGTGCAGATCGAGAGATAATTTTGGTCATTAAACAATATATCACGTGACTAACCACGGGTCCGGTTAGTCCTGTGGGTACCCGGGTCCTACTCAGTACCCACCCGACCCGGGTACCCGAGTTACCCGTCCCAGCCCTTATGGTGATGTATTTGAAAGTGTATAAAGTTGTGTTCTGGTCTTAAGTTTGTAGTGCTTCGTCTGTTTTCAGCCTCGTAACGTTTCGAAAACATTTTTTAAATTTTAAATTTAAATGGAAATTTCAAGTGTATACTTTCTTTTGCCCTGCAGTTTATCTAACGGTTTATGGTTTTTATCACATATTAAGTCTACGTTTCACACAAGGCATCAAATACAACCTCTAACTGTCTAGACCAATCCAGAAAATGGGCATCTGATCACTGAACATGGAACCCCTTGGAGCCTTGTAATTGGTCTTTGTTCAAATATTTTGATATATTTTTCCTTTTATCAGGAATTAACATGCTCGTCTTTTTATCAACTGATCACGCACCTAGGTGTTCATATCTTAGGTGAAAAGGGATGGAAAATATTTCAGAGGACCCACAGATCTTTCTGCTATAATGTTGAGTTTCTCAGGAAACCCAGAAATCCGGTCGGTGACGGTTGGGAACGTGTACATACAGTTAATGGGAGACTACAGGTTCTACTACACCAAATCAAATCAGCCTTCAGTGCAGATCGAGAGATATCTGCAGGCTGTGATTGGAGGATATTCTGTAAGATTTTTATGTCTTTCAAATGTACATCCATCCAGTTATTAAAACTGACCATGTTTTTCTATATTTAGTACTGTCCTTTTCAACATGATGACTTATGCTGAATGTGACTACAGCTATTTTCAAGTAGGTGACATTTGGTGCGAAACTGGGGGTGGTGTGTTTAGCTTCCGGTACTCGGAAAAGGAGCTGACTAAGCTAGTCATTTTTATTTTTTTTAATTGCTGCTCTGTGTTGAAACAACACGCAATTTTAGAATAAGTTGATATCAATATTTTAAAATATACACTCATTTTTCTCACACCGAAAGTAGGAAGCTCAAAATATGTGTGGAAATGTTACAAGTACCAGAAAAATAGGTTAATTTTTGAGTGAATTTGCCCTTTAAAAGAAGTTAAAGAACACCTGATGTTTTTTCACAAGATAGAATAACTATAGTCGGATTAAAAAAAAATCGGTGTTCTATTACTTCTTTTGAGTAGCAGATGTATACATAAAAGTATCAGTGGACGATTACCCTAATTACATAATATAATGTTTCAGTTTGACACAGGTCATTTCTTACTTCGTCTCGATCTAGACCAAGGGCAACAGATCACGAAACACAGTCATCCCCTAAAGGAAATTAATTTCGTTAATCCGGACATTTGTTAGTCCAATTTCACTTGGAACCGTACCCTCGGGATTATCGTTGGTTTGGTTGGTTTGTTGGTTTGTTGTTTAACGCCGCACTCAGCAATATTCAAGCTATATGACGGCGGTCTGTAAATAATCGAGTCTGGACCAGACCATCCAGTGATTAATATCATAAGCATCAATCCACACGCAATTGGGATTGATGACAAGCATCAACCAAGTCAGCGAGCCTGACCAGCCGATCCCGTTAGTCGCCTTTTACGACAAGCATAGTCACCTTTTACGGCAAGCATGGGTTACTGAAGACCTATTCTACCCCGGAATCTTCACGGGTCTCGGGATTATCGAAGTTCCGCTGCATATATACTGAGCGAAAGAAATTAGGGATCATGAATATTTTGGGGGTATTTTTTGGTAATGAAGTCTGAAGTTTGTTTTAATGTGTTCGGTACATAAACATGTTTCATTATCTATATCGTTGGTTCGGTATATACGAACCTCCAGTCATTGAGAAACAGCAAGATAGTTCTCATTAAGTAGGCTATTAAAATGCCTGACTTTATATATCACCACACAAGTAAAAAATTAGATGTCTGTCCTTGTCGATTCCCGACATTGGTACAATGTGTGAAGCCCATTTCTGGTGTCCCCCGCCGTGATATTGCTGGAATATTGCTAAAAGCGGCGTAAATCCATACTCACTCACTTCCAATTATTCATCCTTGCACATACAAAAACCATGAGTGTTTTTTATAAGCAAGTTCGTTTTGTCCTTGTATAATAATAGTTGTAAGATATCCTGGTGTCATCACACGTATTGTACAGAATGAAGACCTGACCCGTCTATAAAGAGGGGAGATCTGGCGTGATAGTGGTACTTTTTCATAATTAATAGAGTAAATAGGAAATGTTGCTGAGTTAAAGTACTGTAAATGTTTTTGAAGACTTTGTAAATTAGATTTCAAATAAAAATGATTCAAAGAAATGTTTGCGCAAGATAAAATATAATTTTAAAGAAATATGTAGTTTAAGTTTTACATATTTAAACATCTAGCTGACAATTTAGTGTATATAAGTTTTATATCGACTCCGTTAAATGACTAATCATCACATCGATAAAATAAGAATCACGCGACAGACAAAACCTATGACGTTGTAATCAAACGGAAGTGACGTACTGCACAACGTTAGTGGTTTACGAAGGCGTATCAAAACATAACTAGGAAGGACATTTCAGTTAAAATGGTGACGAACAGATCATATTTGCTGGCATTTGCTGTCAGTATTACACTGTTTGCTATTGTATTTTCGGCCACCACAACTGGGTCTTCATCGACATCAACTGCTCAACCGACGACTTCAAAACAACCAACTACGCAACCAAAAACGACACCAGGTCCAACACACCCTACAAGTACATTGTCACCCGAACAAGGTAGCTATTGGCCTAATATTTAAAGTGACATGTTAAACATGCGTTATGTTTTCAGAATTACTTTAATTGCCCAGTTACAGAAGTTGAAACACTATGCCAAAGTGAGGCAGCTAGCTTGCTTTGACTATCATTATCAAAGCGCTGCATGTTCGTCACGACATTTGACAGATCATGCAGTTACTAATTATAACTGTGACAGGTGACAATTCATTGGCGTATTCTTTGTTTGAGATGTTGGGTTTTTTAATGTTCCTGTCATTAATGTGACCATTTGCGATGATGTAAACGTAGTAGTACTGTTACTAGTCATGTTAATTCATGAATCGTCACATAACAGTTCCAACTTCATTGTAAACAATTACAACAAGTACCAAATTATTTCACCTAACTAAACTTCTACTAGCTAACAATTTGTCCTGAAGCATAGAGTTAGTATTGTTCTTGACACACGCACAAACTGACTTGATATCAAATCAATTTATTTGTTGTTGCAGTGAAAGAAACTAACATTTTTAGCCCACTAGTCCTTAATCCTTATAATGATAAATGTAGCAAAACCCTTAAAAAGGGCAAAGTTCTACTAGTCTAGTGGTTAAGGAGTTCGCTCGTCATGCCGAAGACCCGGGTTTGATTCCCGACCATGGGTACACTGTGTGAAGCCCATTTCTGGTGTTCCCCGCCGTGTTATTGCTGGAATATTGCTAAAAGCGGCGTAAAACCATACTCACTCACTCACCCCGAGTCTACAGCAAATGTCAGTACAAATTCCCAAATTGGAATTAAAAATCTCCCCATTCATGTAGTTATATTTATCCTTAATATCAGATAACCAATGTTATGGCTTTGTAGAGTTGACTTGTATTTCACTGATAACAGGATGAATAATGAGGATGGAAAGGCATTCATGCTTAGTTTTATACTATTGTATTATAAAATACCTTCTAATTTGAGAAAATAAGAACCTTAACCCAAATCCCAATTTTGAAAACATGATGAGTATTTTTCTGGTTTGGCCGCCAAGGGCACTTAGTTGTGAATCCTACATAAGTTTTCCCTGAGGCAGAAATCCTGTTTATTTGAAACATGGTTTTACTGAAAATATTACTATGTGTCACAGATCTGACCTTGCACCTATCTATACGATATGCAATTGTATTGTTATGGTCATGATAGTTGGTCCTGGGGCCCCTGAAGTTTGCTTCTGTGGTATTTAAAGTTGCGGATCCCCTAAATCTAAAGATTAGCATTATGACAAGGACCCTATGATTTTGTGTAATACAGCAGCTTCCATTAGTTGACAGCATCAATGTCTGGGATGAGAGTTATCTCCCTGATAGGGGGAGCGCCAGTTTGAACCTGGAATTCCCACGGATCCCTAGGTTCAATTCTACAGCAACAAACCAGGATGTCGCAATTTCATTAAATTCAGTAAGAAAACTTTCTGGATAACTTCTGGTTTATTGCATCTAGCGATGTTTCCATGTAGATTCTTACACCGTTATCAAGCTGGAGTGACAATACCAAATGATGAGAGGTATATGTGCATGACATGTTGTGAATAGCAACAGATTAACAGGGACTTGTGTCCAGAGACCCCAACAAGATCCAAACCACCATCTACCTGAAACCTACCCATTCTGACCAGTACATTCACTTCAACCATTCCTCCTAAGTCTGGCATCATCTCCACACTGACCAAGAGAGCCAAGAACATCTGCACCAGCAACCTTGACCTTGACCAGGAACTTAAACATCTGCAGCATGTCTTCACCAATCTCAACTAGTACCCTACCATGCTAGTGAAGAGGACCATCTCCACCACACCCTAGCCCAAACCCAAACAAACTAGACCAAAATCCGACCCTATCGCAATCACCCTACCCTACATTGGCAGGACCTCTCATCAAATCAGCAGATTACTTAACATGCTTAAGAACCAAGCAGGCATCAAACCCACTGGCTCTCCATCTATTAGAGCCACCCTCCAAGTTTATGGCCCAACCCCCTCCAACAACCAACCCCCCCAAAGGAGTAAGCTATAAGATTAATTGTGACAGTGGTGACTCGTACATTGGTGAAACCTCCCGCCCAGTAGATACTTGCGTCAAAGAACATAAAACCTCAACAGCCATCTTCCCGAGGCAATGGAGTTAACTGACTGTAAAAGTGCAGTTTCCACCCTTGCCGAACTAGGCTGGAATTATATTTTGGCTGGACTAAGAAGTCTGTGTAACCCAATCAAAATCGTGTAACGAAATCTACATTCGGTTCGTCAACTGCTGTGCTGAATCAGGTCGTCAGCACGATTTGTATGTACCCCCAACTTGGAATCAAAAGACATTTTTAAAATCTTTTCATGTTTTTAATCAAGGTGCTCAAGTTATTTGATCCACTGCGCAAAGTAAGGCCCATTTTATTACAATATAGATCTTGATTATTGATCAGATCATCTTGACTGGGTGCCGCTATTTTGTTTTGAGCAATTGCAAGTGATATGAGAGGTGGATTCTGATTGGTCAATAGGAGGGACATAGAAGGGGCATAACTCATAATAGACACTGGTGGCGCTACGGTTGAGCCCAGAAATTCCAGCTTCGTTTGGCAAGGGTGGAAACTGGACTTTTACATTCAGTTAACTCCCTAGCCTTGGGAAGATGTCAGCAGCTAAAACAGACAGCAAATCAGCCCTCTCCATCTTCCCGAGGCTAGTGACTGTGAGTCTTGATCGTCTTGACTGGGCGCTGCAATTTTGTTTGAAGCAAATGCAAGTGATACGAGAGGAAGCATCTAATTGGTCCATAGGAGAGGAATATAAGGGACATAACTCGTAATAGCCACTGGTGGCGCTACGATTGAGCCCAGGAATTCACGCCTAGTTTGGCAAGTGTGGAAACTGGACCTTTAAAGTCAGTTAACTCTCTTGCCTCGGGAAGATGGCCCTCTCAGACGACCAGCAAATATTCCCTAGCCGTCAAATTCAATTTCAACCAATTCAACCAAACACCAGGACTTCACTAAAAGAAAACTCTCAGAAGCTATAGAAATACGCTGTCACCAACTTTTGATCAACAGAGATCAAGTGGATTACATCTCGTGTGCCTATGAAGATCTGATCAAGCAAAAGATTATTTTAATTAGGATCCAATCAGCTTGTTACAACTGTTTAATTCTTTTAATCCTTATCTTTACTGTACATTTGGCTCCATCCAATTATCTGTTATTATCTGCTACTTGTTATCTATTACCTGTTGTTGTGAAGGTTAGTTTGCTTTTTATCACAACATGTCATGCATATATATATCTAACAGAGCTCCAGGTAAGCTTTTGGTGTTGTGGGTATTTTACCCATGCATTTTAAAATCATTGGGTATCAGTAATTCTGGGTATTCAAATTTCTGTTACCCACTAGTTTTTACACATGTGGGTATTTAAGTTAAATATTTAAAAACACTATTCACCTAGTCCCTGCAAACTGGTGTCGTGTGGGTTCGAGAGCTTTATAGGACTCAAAAATACCACGATACTTCCACAAGAAAGTGCGATGGCAAATGATCATGATGTAACTGTCATCGTGGAGTTTGGCAAGGTTGACGGAATGCCCATTTATAATTTCAAAATAAGTTGCTGATTTGCTAATCGAATACGCAGGGTTACTTCACAATATTTTGATGATACGCACAAGTTTTATTTTTGTAGCATATCTGTAATGTTCGTTGTGTATTTGATATGCTTGGATTTTATTTTACTGCTTATTTCTGCATTTCTGATGCATATTTTACGCAGATACACAGCTTATCTGGAGCTCTGATCTCATCTCTTGGTTGTAGTCACTCCAGCTTGATAACGGTGTAAAAATCTACATCAAAACGCTCCTATATGCAATAAACCGGAAGTTGTCATCCAGAAAGTTATACGTTTTCTTACCATGTTACCAGATCATGAGAGTGACAGTCAGAATGTGTTTTTTAATCAAGCAACCTCGAAAAGGTTAACACAGGGTATTTCGAACAACGGTTACGGGCTCTAACAACGGACTCCATCAAAACCATCTCTACCTCTAGCTTCAAAGGATAAGCATTTGAACCAAATTAACTTTCCATAGCCAGTGAGAGTACTGTCACACAATCTCGGCCATCTATTAAACATTCCAGAATGTTTTTTGTTCAGTTTGCAAATTTTGTATATTTGAAATATTTCTCAAAATGTTGTCTGGAATGGAAGTGGCCGTGTAGCTGCTTTCTGATTGGCAAATGTCGACTTCATTTGTCGGTCAAAGTTCATGAAGGGTCATTCTGACATGACCCGTAATGGGATGTTCTCATAGCTTGTTAAGCTGTAGCGAGAACTGAGATCTGATTTTAATGAGGCTGGACTCCCTTAATTTTGAACACTGATATAAGAAATTTACATGTGTACAAATAATTTCAATGACCATCTCTTTATTTCAGAATGTCATGCCAGCAACAGTTCCTGTGATGAATGTATAAAGGCTGCTAAGAGTAGGGTATGTATTTCAAACTAATGTATATACTACAGTACACAACATTTGATAAGGACCACACCTTTGACTAAAGATGAGTCTTAGACAGTAGTCTGTCAATGGAAAACAAAGATGCTAATAATGACATCAATCATTAGGCGGTATTATTCCAGTGATAAACAGTTGATAACAACATTTACTACCAGTACTCATCATTATGATACCACTACAACTTGCAACTGTATCTTGGCCATCAAACGTTTGGGTTCTTCGCAAATGTTGAGTAGTACACATAAAAACGTGATTCGAACCATCAACAATGAGTTTTCGATACGACCTAAACTTGGGTGGGTGGATTGAAAAAATATGTTTATTTCTTTGGGATGGATTAATAAATAATTTCCCTGGTACGTCCAATCTTTGACAAATAATATTTCAAGTCTGCCCTGCTATTTGTCCCTGTGTAACCTCAGTTGATAAAGTGTGACTATGGCTGCCAAGCCTCTTGACTTTGAAATCATGTCCAGCAAAAGGGGAATGATGTAAGGCGCTATTTTGGTCTAACAAACAAGAAGGGCAGTTGGAATGTGAAAGAAAAAACATGTATGTTAGTGGAAATATATTAACTTTCAAAACACAGACCTAAGTATCACAATATAATGCAATACAAAATTCCAGATGATACAGTCCTCAGATACGACCACATCTATATTAACCATTGTGTTTACTGGTTTTTGTTCTGAAATCGGACACTTTGTTTTTCACTTCCCATACTTATCAATGATTTTCTCAATCTGTTTACTATTCAGTGAGATAATGAACAATAGGGAAGAAAATATTGAACTTGTTGAGGAAAACTTGTTAATGTGCAAACCTACATGACCTATTTGACCATTCTCCTGTCCACCTCCGGGTCTAGTGGCTAGAGTGTCTGCCCAGAGAGGGGAAGGTCAGTGGTTTGATCTCCGGCCACATCATACCCAATCTCATTAAAGGGGAAGTGTACACGCAAAAATCACTTTCTTTCTTTTTTCTAAACAAAACGCAATTTTAGAATTAATTAGTATCTGTGTTTGAAAATATACACTCATTTTTTTCACAGTGAAAGTAGGAAGCTCACAATAGTGTGAAAATGATATGCCGTTATGAGGCCTTCGTTTTTCGAGCTAAACAGGCCTGAGTTATCCCCCTTAGATTATGACGTAATTGGTGCCAATTCAACTGGGTCCCTGTCTATTCTCAACGCAAAAGATATCAAGTACCAGTTTTGCGGTAAAACAACATGGCCTACGACACACTCCGGCGCAGTGGTGACTCAGCATAAAACTATGCTGGCTGGCATCTGAGACGCTAGAATCCCACACCTGTACCTAAACCACGTGAAGCGGCTCTAACAAAGCATGATGACGTCATAATGTTTATCAATTGGCACCAATGACGTCATATTGCAAGGGGCATAAGCCATGGTGTTTTTGTTGTGGAAATAGAACACTTGGTAAATGTGAAAAATATAAATCGTTTTAATGCGAAAAATATGTTAATTAATTGTGATATTTTTATATTTTTGTCTATGACACTTCTAGGTTAACACTTTTAATATGGAAAAAGTACAAGAAAAATAGGTTCATTTCCGTGTGAACTTGCCCTTTAAAATCAGATCTTAGTTTGCGGACATCCCATTACGGGTCACATCAGAACGACCTTTCATCCAACCAATCAGATCGTCGCTTACCAGATCATGAAAGTCGGAATGTGTTTTTATCCCCCTGGCATATAATGCGGGGAAATATAGCGATCAGCCAGTCTGTCTGTCCGTCCGTCTGTCTGCCTGTCCGTCTGTCCGTCCGTAATCATTTCCTTTTCCGGGGCAGAACTCGAAAATAATTCAGTGTATTTGATCGAAACTTGGCATATCTATCAGTCACATACTGAAGTTGTGCCTTTTGCTATTTAGGAATTTTAGAAATTTTTATTTTTTAAATTTCCATGGTAACCAGTTGGACTTAGGTAAGGGTGGTGTTCGTTTCCGGAGCACAACTCAAAACCCATTCAAAACTTTCTTACAAAACTTTGCATGTCTATCAGACTCATGCTGAACAGGTGCTTTTTGCTATTTAGGAATATTATAAATTTCAATTTTTTATGTTTCCATGGCAACAAGTTCGACTTAGGTTCTATAAGGGTGGTGTTCGTTTCCGGAGCGTAACTCAAAAACCGTTAAATACTTTCTTACAAAACTTTGCATGTCTACCAGGCACATACTGAACTGGTGCCTTTTGCTATTTAGGAGTTTTTATTTTTTTATTTTTTACGTTTCCATGGCAACCAGTTGGACTTAGGTTCTATAGGGTAGAGTTCGTTTCCGGAGCATAACTCAAAACCCATTCAAAACTTTCTTTCAAAACTTTGCATGTCTATCAGACTCATGCTGAACTGGTGCCTTTTGCTATTTAGGAATTTTAGAAATTTTTATTTTTTACGTTTACATGGCAACAAGTTGGACTTAGGTTCTATTAGGGTGGTGTTTGTTTCCGGAGCATAACTCAAAAACCGTTAAATACTTTCTTACAAAACTTTTCATGTCTACCAGGCACATACCATGCATACTGAACTGGTGCCTTTTGCTATTTAGAAATTTTTATTTTTTTATTTTTTACATTTCCATGGCAACAAGTTGGATTTAAGTTTTCATATAGGACGGGTTCACTTATGGAGTATAACAAATAAACTGTTAAATATTTCCTTGCCAAACATTGCATGTCCATATATAAAGTACATACTGAACAGGTGCCATTTGATATTAAGGAGTTTTAGAAATGTTTATTTTAGAATTTCCATGGCAGCTATTTAGACATGGGCTTACAGAAATGTTTGGTCAGTTACCTGGTTTGGGACCATAACGTGTTAAAATGGGTGGGGGATATAGATGACTTTGTTGACTATACGCTTGTTTCTTGTAATTTGTCATTTGTTTGCATAAAAAAAAACCCACAGAAACACACGTTTTACTTTCCATTTCATATGGATGCGACCATGGTGGATCTTTTGTTGGTAAACAATGTATGCTTCTTAAAGAACATTCAACTCTTGACTCATTACATACAGAATTTCACATTTACTAATGGTAACTTTACAGACAGCTTCCGGGGGGGATATGTCATCTTTCTGATGACTCTTGTCTAATCATGCGACCATGAAATATATACCATGGGGTATTCCGAACGACAGTTACGGGTTTTATGATCATATCCATACAATCTAGGCCATCTATAAGTCATTCCAGAATGTCCTTCTTATCAGTTTTAAATTTTTTAATCGAGAACACGTCAAAATATGTTTCGAAGCATAGTTGCCAGTTTGAAACTAGTGTCGTAAAGCTTGAGAAACCTGCCTTCTGATTGGCATTGTCTGGAGACTAGTACAAGCAGACACACACACACACACACGTCACTATGTTAGTTTATTAATCTTGAATGCGATCTTAAACCCCATTTCTTTTCGGACAGAAACTTATTATTTGCAAAAATTTCAGTGTTTCTACTGCTATGCCGACCACAGCTGCCAGTTGTATCCTTTGGGTGATATCGTCCCACAACACTGTGACCTGTCCAAGGCCAGATGGGGAGTCTGCTGGGGTGAGTAGTCCTGTGTCTTGGTGTGAGGAAGGGTGGGAGATGGGGAGTCTGCTGGGGTGAGTAGTCCTGTGTCTTGGTGTGAGGAAGGATGGGAGATGGGTAGTCTGCTGGGGTGAGTAGTCCTGTGTCTTGGTGTGAGGAAGGGTGGGAGATGGGGAGTCTGCTGGGGTGAGTAGTCCTGTGTCTTGGTGTGAGGAAGGGTGGGAGATGGGTAGTCTGCTGGGGTGAGTAGTCCTGTGTCTTCGTGTGAGGAAGGGTGGGAGATGGGTAGTCTGCTGGGGTGAGTAGTCCTGTGTCTTGTTGTGAGGAAGGGTGGGAGATGGGGAGTCTGCTGGGGTGAGTAGTCCTGTGTCTTCGTGTGAGGAAGGGTGGGAGATGGGTAGTCTGCTGGGGTGAGTAGTCCTGTGTCTTGTTGTGAGGAAGGGTGGGAGATGGGGAGTCTGCTGGGGTGAGTAGTCCTGTGTCTTGGTGTGAGGAAGGGTGGGAGATGGGGAGTCTGCTGGGGTGAGTAGTCCTGTGTCTTGTTGTGAGGAAGGGTGGGAGATGGGGAGTCTGCTGGGGTGAGTAGTCCTGTGTCTTGGTGTGAGGAAGGGTGGGAGGTGGGGAGTCTACAGGGTTTAGTAGTCCTGTGTCTTGTTGTGAAGAAGGGTGGGAGATGGGGAGTCTGCTGGGGTGAGTAGTCCTGTGTCTTGTTGTGAGGAAGGGTGGGAGATGGGGAGTCTGCTGGGGTGAGTAGTCCTGTGTCTTGTTGTGAGGAAGGGTGGGAGATGGGGAGTCTGCTGGGGTGAGTAGTCCTGTGTCTTGGTTGTGAGGAAGGGTGGGAGATGGGGAGTCTGCTGGGGTGAGTAGTCCTGTGTCTTGTTGTGAGGAAGGGTGGGAGATGGGGAGTCTGCTGGGGTGAGTAGTCCTGTGTCTTGTTGTGAGGAAGGGTGGGAGATGGGGAGTCTGCTGGGGTGAGTAGTCCTGTGTCTTGTTGTGAGGAAGGGTGGGAGATGGGGAGTCTGCTGGGGTGAGTAGTCCTGTGTCTTGGTGTGAGGAAGGGTGGGAGATGGGGAGTCTGCTGGGGTGAGTAGTCCTGTGTCTTGGTGTGAGGAAGGGTGGGAGATGGGGAGTCTGCAGGGGTGAGTAGTCCTGTGTCTTGGTGTGAGGAAGGGTGGGAGATGGGGAGTCTACAGGGGTGAGTAGTCCTGTGTCTTGTTGTGAGGAAGGGTGGGAGATGGGGAGTCTGCTGGGGTGAGTAGTCCTGTGTCTTGGTGTGAGGAAGGGTGGGAGATGGGGAGTCTGCTGGGGTGAGTAGTCCTGTGTCTTGGTGTGAGGAAGGGTGGGAGATGGGTAGTCTGCTGGGGTGAGTAGTCCTGTGTCTTGGTGTGAGGAAGGGTGGGAGATGGGGAGTCTGCTGGGGTGAGTAGTCCTGTGTCTTGGTGTGAAGAAGGGTGGGAGATGGGTAGTCTGCTGGGGTGAGTAGTCCTGTGTCTTGGTGTGAGGAAGGGTGGGAGATGGGGAGTCTGCTGGGGTGAGTAGTCCTGTGTCTTGTTGTGAGGAAGGGTGGGAGATGGGGAGTCTGCTGGGGTGAGTAGTCCTGTGTCTTGTTGTGAGGAAGGGTGGGAGATGGGGAGTCTACTGGGGTGAGTAGTCCTGTGTCTTGGTGTGAGGAAGGGTGGGAGATGGGGAGTCTGCTGGGGTGAGTAGTCCTGTGTCTTGGTGTGAGGAAGGGTGGGAGATGGGGAGTCTACAGGGGTGAGTAGTCCTGTGTCTTGTTGTGAGGAAGGGTGGGAGATGGGGAGTCTGCTGGGGTGAGTAGTCCTGTGTCTTGTTGTGAGGAAGGGTGGGAGATGGGTAGTCTGCTGGGGTGAGTAGTCCTGAGTCTTGTTGTGAGGAAGGGTGGGAGATGGGGAGTCTGCTGGGGTGAGTAGTCCTGTGTCTTGTTGTGAGGAAGGGTGGGAGATGGGGAGTCTGCTAGGGTGAGTAGTCCTGTGTCTTGGTGTGAGGAAGGGTGGGAGATGGGGAGTCTGCTAGGGTGAGTAGTCCTGTGTCTTGTTGTGAGGAAGGGTGGGAGATGGGTAGTCTGCTGGGGTGAGTAGTCCTGAGTCTTGTTGTGAGGAAGGGTGGGAGATGGGGAGTCTGCTGGGGTGAGTAGTCCTGTGTCTTGTTGTGAGGAAGGGTGGGAGATGGGGAGTCTGCTGGGGTGAGTAGTCCTGTGTCTTGTTGTGAGGAAGGGTGGGAGATGGGGAGTCTGCTAGGGTGAGTAGTCCTGTGTCTTGTTGTGAGGAAGGGTGGGAGATGGGTAGTCTGCTGGGGTGAGTAGTCCTGTGTCTTGGTGTGAGGAAGGGTGGGAGATGGGGAGTCTGCTGGGGTGAGTAGTCCTGTGTCTTGTTGTGAGGAAGGGTGGGAGATGGGTAGTCTGCTGGGGTGAGTAGTCCTGAGTCTTGTTGTGAGGAAGGGTGGGAGATGGGGAGTCTGCTGGGGTGAGTAGTCCTGTGTCTTGTTGTGAGGAAGGGTGGGAGATGGGTAGTCTGCTGGGGTGAGTAGTCCTGTGTCTTGGTGTGAGGAAGGGTGGGAGATGGGGAGTCTGCTGGGGTGAGTAGTCCTGTGTCTTGGTGTGAGGAAGGGTGGGAGATGGGGAGTCTGCTGGGGTGAGTAGTCCTGTGTCTTGGTGTGAGGAAGGGTGGGAGATGGGGAGTCTGCTGGGGTGAGTAGTCCTGTGTCTTGGTGTGAGGAAGGGTGGGAGATGGGGAGTCTGCTGGGGTGAGTAGTCCTGTTTCTTGGTGTGAGGAAGGGTGGGAGATGGGTAGTCTGCTGGGGTGAGTAGTCCTGTGTCTTCGTGTGAGGAAGGGTGGGAGAGATCCCACATAGTGAGTAGAGTTAGGGGAGATGCCGTCCTGCATAGTGGTGCTCTAATGTGTGAGGAGAGTGATGGAGACGTCATCCCACATAGTGGTGCTCTAGGGTTTGAGGGGAGTGATGGAGGCGTCATCCCACATAGTGGTGCTCTAGGGTGTGAGGAGAGTGATGGAGACGTCATCCCACATAGTGGTGCTCTAGGGTGTGAGGGGGTGATGGAGGCGTCATCCCACATAGTGGTGCTCTAGGGTGTGAGGGGGTGATGGAGGCGTCATCCCACATAGTGGTGCTCTAGGGTGTGAGGGGGTGATGGAGGCGTCATCCCACATAGTGGTGCTCTAGGGTGTGAGGGGGTGATGGAGGCGTCATCCGTCATAGTGGTGCTCTGGGGTGTGAGGGGGGAGATGCCGTCCTGCATAGTGGTGCTGTACGGTGTGAGGGGGTGATGGAGACGTCATCCCACAGATTGGTGCTCTAGGGTGTGAAGGGGTGATGGAGACGTCATCCCACATAGTGGTGCTCTAGTGTGTGAGGGGGTGATGGAGACGTCATCCCACATAGTGGTGCTCTAGGGTGTGAGGGAGTGATGGAGACATCATCCCACATAGTGGTGCTTTGGTGAATGATGGCGACGTCATCCCACATAGTGGTGCTCTAGGGTGTGAGGGGGGAGATGCCGTCCTGCATAGTGGTGCTGTACGGTGTGAGGGGGTGATGGAGACGTCATCCCACAGATTGGTGCTCTAGGGTGTGAAGGGGTGATGGAGACGTCATCCCACATAGTGGTGCTCTAGTGTGTGAGGGGGTGATGGAGACGTCATCCCACATAGTGGTGCTCTAGGGTGTGAGGGAGTGATGGAGACATCATCCCACATAGTGGTGCTCTGGTGAGTGATGGCAACGTCATCCCAAATGGTTGTGCCCTGGTGTATGAATGGATTGGGGAGATGTTGACACACATAGTGGTGCTCTCTGGTACGCAGCCTGGTAGTAGAGATGTCAATATTAGTTGTGCTGTCTGGTGTGTTAAGTGGGGAGTAGGAGGGAATAAAATATCAGCTGAATTTTCTCTTTGTGTGGTGACATATTCATACCTGTATTGACTCTTCTTTTCCAGTGAACTTTGAGGCGCTGATCATCGCAATGTCCGTCATCGGAGGACTCATCATCCTCACCATCACTTGTTGCTGTATCAGATGTTGCTGCTGCAAAGGTGGAAACAAGGGAAAGTGAGTTGTCTTGGTGGTAGTGATGTGTGTGTGGATGGGGGATGGGCCTAGCAGCCAAAGACCCTGCAGTTGTTTGACTAGGCTTCTAAGGAGCTAAACGAGTTGACAAAAGGGGGAGACAGGGTGTCCCCAGCACTCCATTGCTGGTTGTAAGGGGCGACTGAATTGGGCTACCCGTGAAGATCCAGGTTAGAATTGATTTTCAGGAACCCGTGCTTGTCGTAAGATGATTTGGGTGGTCAGGCTTACTGACCTGGTAGATGCACGTCATTGTATCCCAATTGCATAGGTTGATGCTCATGATGTCAATCACTGGATTGTCTGGTCCACACACTATTATTACAGACCACCGTCATATCGATGAAATATTGCTGAGTGCAGCATTAAACAACAAATAAATGAGTAACATAAGTAACACAGTTTTTAATTAATGACAAAACATATCATGGCCATGACAAAATATCTATGGTCATATGTAAAGCTCAGGTGTTCTTTAACTTCTTTTAAGGAATACATAGATGGTCCCAACTGTTATCACTTTGAATGTGGGTAACCTGTCTTCTAGGGTTCTGAGTTTCATGGTCAGTAAATTGTGCCCCTCTTGCATCAGTACGAGTTACCAAAGAAACAATTTGTTGCAGGTACATGAAAGAAGAAGCCAAATGGGATCGACAGAAGACGGAGCGTAAGCAGAGAGGTGAAGAGAGGAAGGCAGACAGGAAGGAACGGATGGACGAAATCAGAAGGAAATATGGTACGTATCCCACACCATGCAAGCATTCTCATCACAAGTTCTTCATGTCTTTACTAACATGTCAGTGATTTACCTGGAGATAAACATCTGTGATAAAACGGGTCTTACATCGCGAAATGCATCAAATCAAGTGAGCACCTTGATTAAAAACATGAAAAGATTTGGAAAATATCTGCTGACAACAAGTTGGCTTTGCAAATCCTGCAATCGATCGAAATCTGCACCACAGTTTACGAACTGGATTTTGATTTCAGTGCGCGATTTTGATTGGACTATGCATAGACTCGTCAGTCCAGCCAAAATGTAACTCCATAATACCAGCCTAGTTCGGCAAGGGTGGAAACTGGACTTTTATAGTCTGTTAACTCTCCTGCCTCGGGAAGATGAAGATAAAGGGCATAAGGACATTTTCAGGATTTTATTAAGTTTTCATGGAACAATATTCTGTTTCATCATGTTCATTGCCAAACTTGAATAAGACTCTGAGGACATTTTGGATGATGCTCCAAGAAAATGGACTGATCTGGAACCCTGCCCACATGCCTGTGTTTGTGATGAGTGATCGAGGAGATGAGGACTATAGGGAAGGTTGGGTAGGATAAGGCTACAATAAATTAATTATTAGATTTTCATAAATGATTCGTGGAGAGAGTTTATTTTAAGTATTTATCATCTTTCAACAAGCTGTGCTGCAGTTTGCTTTGCAGAGTTGCGTTCCTTAAACACGCCAGTTACCTATGATTGTGTGTTCAAATCCTGGTTCATCCCTGTTATGTTTCAAGTTTTGTCAGCACCATACCCGTGCTCATGGGTTTCACCAATCTCATTAAAATCAGATCTTAGTTCTCGCTGCCGCTAAACAAAGATCCGAGGACATCCCATTACGGGTCACGTCAGGCCGACCTTGCGCGAACTTTGACTGACCAGTGGAATGACCAATCAGAAGGCAGCTTCACGGCACTAATTTCAAATTGGCGTCTACGCTTCACAACGTATTTTGACAAATTCTCGATTACAAATTTGAAACCTAAACAAAATAACGTTCTGGAATGGCTAATAGGTGGTCTAGATTGTATGGATTCAGTCGTTAAACCCGTAACAATTGTTTGGAATACCCCTTGTTAAAGTTTTCGAGGTTGTATGATCAAGATTAATTTGTTATTTGCGCTGTCTTTGCATACATCTGAAAATTGAGTCAAGGGCTTGCATATGTTCAAATTTTAGATAAACACTTCCAGAAAATCTCTAAAATCAGCATTTTGGACACATTTTAGCTTTGTCTACATTTGCTGTTGATGAAAGCCTGGTAAAACCTGCCAGTGTTAAACTGAGTAATGGGGCGGTCGGGTAGCCTAGTGGTTAAAGCGTTCGCTCGTCACACTGAAAACCCAGGTTCGATTCCCGACATGGGTACAATGTGTGAAGGCCATTTCTGGTTTCCCCTGCCGTGATATTTCTAGAATATTGCTAAAAGCGGCGTAAAACCATACTCGCTCAATTGTTCTTCCTCAAATTCGTCCGGCTAAATAAAGTGCCAGGCTAAAGAAAGTATCCACTTGAAAATTGGATTTGACCAAAACATTATAAAAACATTACTACGCTGAAAGCAGTCACCGAAACATTGCAAAGTTATGATTTAAGCATGTTTTATCTACAAGGAAAAGGATTGGGCACAGGTTTTCACAACTCTCCCAAACTTAAGGCCCAAAACACAACTATGATTCCTGTATCAAAAACATCTCCTCGAATAACAATTTCTTGTTTGTTTCATTTTTAGCTACAGGACCCACTTGCGCAAAGCTATCTTAGCGCTAAGATGATTGTAACTCCCATACTTTAACATAGGCTTACAATAGTTGTAGCGCTAAGATCGTTTTATGCAAGTGGGCCCAGGTGTATACTTTCTTTTGCCCAATCGTTTAGAAATGTGGATTCTAAGAAACTTTTTATGTTTCTAAGGGTTTGGACAGAAATGGGTTTTTTTCTATCAAGTTATATCCAACTTTGTATTATGTTTTTCTGGTTCCTGCTTTTGAGTTTGTAACCATGGTAACCTGCCAAATGTAAAATTAATAACACGTTTTTCGGCCATGTTTCCATCCTTGATAAATATAGTCCATAATGGTAAAATTATGAGCAGGATGTAGTTTTTTTAAGGGGGCAAGGGTGGCCCAGTCGTCTAAGGCGCCGCAATTCACTGTGCAGAGTTTTGTCCCTTGGGATCGCCAGAAACCTATGATTGTGGGTTTGAATCCCGATTCGCTCCAATTATGTTTCTAGGTTTGTCAGCACCATATCCGTGCTCATGGGTTTCACTGAGGTGGTAAGCGTTTAAGACCTGCATCACCTCGGGCTTTCCTCCCACATAAGCTGACACGCCGTGATATAACTGGAATACTGTTAAAACCAGCATTAAACACAACTCACTCACTCACTCACTTGTTTGTTGAAGAGAAACTTTATCACAATTTAGATTAGTAACCCTTTGTTTAGCAACATTATCATTCTGTTGGAATTAGGTGAAGTGAGATGAAATGAGTTTTAACATCGTGTTCAAGATTATCGCACGTATATAGCGATATCAATGCTTGTGTGGCTGCTGGTACTAGTCCTTACTAATGCTGGTTTTATAGTACTAGCCCACTAAAATCCCATGCCCAAATCCCATTTGGGATGATGCGGCCTAGGGATCGAACCCCGCCCTTCCGATCTTCGGACAGATGCTCTATCCACTAGACCATTGAGGCAATCGGTTAATAATGGCTTTGTATGGAATGTTCTTTGCAGGACACGAACATTGCTTGTATTAATATGACAATTTGAATTATAAAGGACTGCAGAAAAATTAAAGTGAGTTAGGTTGGTATCTTGATTTAACCAAGATTGAAATAATAGGTTCTCAGCCATTGTTAAACTCTGTGCAATGTCACCTTGGAAAACACCTTGCCTGAAAACTTGTTATTTTAGTCTCACCTGATTTTTTCAAATTCAGCACTTTTTAACAACACTCCTTGACCAGATGACCATCATCACATAAGTAACTTAATTGACTGTTTGCTGTAATGAAAACTGTAGACTTTTGAGTGTGAAATGAATATTTGCAATTTGGAAATATATCTCTGAAAACAAACGGAGAATGACAACAAGAATCTGTTCACATTATACAATGACCACCCACTCCCACTCACCACCCACTGCGGTTCATCTTCATTGTAAATTTTCATTGATTCCTGTATTTTAGAATATTCCTAAAAATATTACCGTATTCGACGTAATAAGCGCTCAGGGCGCTCTCAAAATTAGACGTGGGGGGCTCTTATTAGAATAAGAAATAAGAATAAGTTGAAAGATAAATTTCACGGTTTATGCTGACAGCCTGAAATGTTTATATACGTGAGATACATTTTTCCAGAATTTAAATGCCCATAATTAAGGGTGCATATAACACACGAGTACGTATTATATGCGAATAAATAAGTGTTGTGTACATTGATCAATCGGTAGGGGTGCTAATTGGTATTGTTCACTAGCCAATATATTGGCAAATATCGCCGTGGGCGCTTATTAGAGCGGGGGCTTATTACGTCGAATACGGTAAATCAAAATAGCATCATGTAGGATTGATGAAAGGTAAATATGGTTAAGTGTAAAAATAAATATGATTATTTTTAAGAAGTGGTTACTTTAAGCTTAGCATGTTTGGATTCTTTGGAAATTACTCTTTTGTCTGCCATTGATTTTCCACACTTCTATAAATCATCATATTTTAATGATGTAAAGGTAAGACAACATAGCATCTTCATCCAACTTTGCACTGCTGTGCACATGTGAAGTCAGTAGGATAACATTAAACATATATCATTTAAACTCGTATGAGTAATTAATGGATCATATTCATGGTAAGCTGTACATGAATTTCACTTGATAACACATTCCAATTGATGACCTCAATAACCACAATCTGACAAAGACAGTGAGGATTATAGGTGCTTCCTCCTGTACGAGGAAATCACAGTTTTGGAGATGTTTCTGATTAATCAAATTGGTTATGATTTGATACCAGGGGTTGACGTCATTTGTAAGATGCGACTAACAGGATCAGGTGGTCAGGATTGCTGACTTGGTTGATGCATGTCATTGTATCCCAGTTGCATAGATCGTTGCTCATGATATCAATCACTGGATTGTCTGGTCCAGACTTGATTATTTACAGACCATCGTCATATAGCTGGAACATTGCTGAGTGCGGCGTTAAACAACAAACAAACAAACATCATAGCTAACTAGTCCACAGCTAATTTCAGACCAGTGACTTTTGCATAATATAACTAGATTTTGAAGAAAACAACTTGTCACTCTAGATTTTCACTAGTCTCGTACTAACAGACGACTGATAGTTTCTTTCTCAGCATACTGAGCTCAGACATGATAAGGGTTCAAAGTTCAAGGGTAATGAGGTGGCCCAGCTGTTTATGACCATGCAATTTTTCATACAGAGTTATTTCCCTTGTTGTGCCAGGATTTGCTGGTCATGCTCATGCTCTTGGTAAACAGCTTAATCCCTTCATCAGCTGGCATGCTGTGACATGTGACTATCCTAAGCATTCAGCACAACCCCTAGGTTCCAATGTTACAGGTAACGTGTAACCATGGGAACGTATCACTCCTCAGTTTGACCGTACAGCGCCTTCACCACCTCCACCTCCGCTTCTGTCCACTCTTACAATCACCGTTTGTCCCAGAAAACTGTGTACATACCACATTGACTTTGCAATTTGATATATAAGGTGAATTTAAGCCAGCAACCTTTTAGGTTAGCAAGGTGTCTGTTACCATTGGAACATGGACAGATATTGTGACACAGTCTAGGTAATTGGGAATCTTGTATTAAATCAATTGAAAGTTACCCTGTTGTAATCCCTGAACAATGGTTAATACTGTTCTTGTTCCTGTTCTTGTGTATGATAAAAGTGAATTCAGATATCGCAACCAACCCGTGAAGATCCTGGTTAGAATAGGTCTTCAGCATCCCATGCTTGCCTTAAAAGGCGACTATGCTTGTCGTAAGAGGCGACTTATGGGATCCGGTGGTCAGACTCGCTGACGTGGTTGATGCATTTCATCGATCCCAATTGCGTGGATTGATGCTCATGATATCAATCACTGAATTGTCTGGTCCAGACTCGATTATTTACAGACCGCCGTCATATAGCTGGAATATTGCTGAGTGCAGTGTTAAACAACAAACAACAGATATGGCAACCAATTTCTGTTCTTCAACTTAGTTAGAAGCAAAGTTGACTTGCTCCTTTTCAAAACGATGTCTCCTCCAACCACTTGTTATCATCTTGTGGCTTTGGTGGAAATTTAACATTTATGTTGTCACCGTCATGTTTCTAACCAGCATTTTTTCAATGTCTTTATCAACAACCTTTACATGAAGCTTTTATTGTATCTTGTGATATATGAACTTCCCTACTTTAATGCACATCATAGGAATTGGCTTCCAAGGTAAGTTTGCATTAGAGACTGCTGAGAACATCCTGTTTCACCTCATTATTTCTGTGATGAGTTGCTGTCTTCCATTCTGTGTTACCTCATGTGCATGATATTTACTTTGTTGTCATGGAAACCTTATAAAAGCTTAATTGATATGTTTACTCGAGAATTACATTTTATCATGTTTATTCCAATTGTTTGGGAACTTTTTGTTTTCCTTTATTTTGGAATATGTTCTGTGGTGTTTTGCCATCCATCTTGCCTTTTGTGGTATTTGAGTTGAATTTGTTTTACCATTATTACAGAATTATTGTTGAAGAGAGCAGGCTTCTCTTTACTTAATGGTAAAGAATGCTTTTGTTTAATTCAGTTGCATTTATGTAACTGGTGACCTTTTAAGCTATTTTTTGTTTGGCTTTATGAGGGAGCAATTTGACTAATTTCCTCAACTTACGTCAGAATCTTTAATACCTTTAAGACCTGATTTTAAGCATTTTTTATCCATTTGTTTAAAAAGTGTAAAAAAAAGACATGAACAGTTAATTGTATTGATGATGAGTGTTATTTTAAGACAAGGAAATAATGAGGTAAATCAGATAAAAACAGCATCTTATTATGTCCAAGAGAAGAGTGCCTTTATTATGCCTGTTGTCATTATTTATCATGTACCAATGTCACAATTTTATGTTCTATTGTTACATGTTTGTAGTATCTTTTCTGCATGAATATCATTTATTTATTTCACCTATTATAATATTTGGCAAAAGAATAGCCATGTGTCGCTGTTTCATTTAGCTATGAAATATTATAAAGGCTTCCTTTTGTGCTATATTAGAAATTTGAGTAGGATCTCAGTAACCGTGGTAACCCCTTCATAATGGACACAAAAATATTGGGTGGTGGTCAGAGTGAATTTGAAACTTCAGGAGTAGAGGGTGGGGGTGATATGATATAAAGTTTGTCGGCCTGAGTCAAGGTTATTAAAACAAGTTAGGTGTCAACATGGTCAATATTGTTTGTCTCTCTGTGGGGATTCCTGGAAAGAATAGGTCCCCAGTATCATGAACACCCATGCTGGACTCTCTCTGGGTATTCCTGGAAAGAATAGGTCCCCGGTATCATAAACACCCATGCTTGTCTCTTTGTGTGGATTCCTGGAAAGAATAGGTCCCCGGTATCGTGAACACCCATGTTTGTCTCTCTGTGGGGATTCCTGGAAAGAATAGGTCCCCAGTATCATGAATACCCATGCTTGACTCTCTCTGGGTATTCCTGGAAAGAATAGGTCCCCGGTATCATAAACACCCATGCTTGTCTTTCAGTGGGTATTCCTGGAAAGAATAGGTCCCCGGTATCATGAACACCAATGCTTGTCTCTTTGTGTGGATTCCTGGAAAGAATAGGTCCCCGGTATCATGAATACCCATGTTTGTCTCTCTCTCTGGGGATTCCTGGAAAGAATAGGTCCCCAGTATCACGAACATCCTTTCTTGTCTCTGTGTGGAGATTCCTGGAAAGAATAGGTCCCCAGTATCATGAACACCAATGTTTGTCTCTCTGTGTGGATTCCTGGAAAGAATAGGTTCCCGGTATCATGAATACCCATGCTTGACTCTCTCTGGGTATTCCTGGAAAGAATAGGTTCCCAGTATCATGAACACCCATGTTTGTCTCTCTGTGGAGATTCCTGGAAAGAATAGGTCCCCGGTATCATAAACACCCATGCTTGACTCTCTCTGGGTATTCCTGGAAAGAATAGGTCCCTGGTATCATGAATACCCATGTTTGTCTCTCTCTGTGGGTATTCCTGGAAAGAATAGGTCCCCAGTATCATGAACACCCTTGCTGGACTCTCTCTGGGTACTCCTGGAAAGAATAGGTCCCTGGTATCATGAACACCCATGGTTGACTCTCTCTGGGTATTCCTGGAAAGAATAGGTCCCTGGTATCATAAAAACCAATGTTTGTCTCTCTGTGTGGATTCCTGGAAAGAATAGGTTCCCGGTATCATAAACACCAATGCTTGTCACTGTGTGTGGATTCCTGGAAAGAATAGGTTCCCGGTATCATGAATAACCATGCTTGTCTCTCTCTCTGTGGGGATTCCTGGAAAGAATAGGTCCCCAGTATCACGAACATCCATTCTTGTCTCTCCCTGGAGATTCCTGGAAAGAATAGGTCCCCGGTTACGGCGGTATCATAAACACCAATGCTTGTCTCTCTCTGAGTAATTTTAGGAAGAATAGGTCCCCAAGATCATGAACACCCATGATTGTCTCTCTGTGGGGATTCCTGGAGAAGAATAGGTCCCCAGTGTCATGAAGACCTATGCTTGTCTCTCTCTGGGGATTCCTGGGGAAGAATAGGTCCCCAGTGTCATGAAGACCCATGCTTGTCTCTCTCTGGGGATTCCTCGGGAAGAATAGGTCCCCAGTATCATGAACACCCATGCTTGTCTCTCTCTGGGGATTCCTGGGGAAGAATAGGTCCCCAGTATCATGAACACCCATGCTTGTCTCTCTCTGGGGATTCCAGGAAAAAATTCGCCACATTCAGCAATATTCCAGCTATGTGACAGTTGCATATAAATGACCAAGTCTTGCCCAGGCAAGCTTGTGATTTATGTGAGCGATGTCCCACATGTCACTGTGTCTGACCACCAGATCTAAGTTGCCTTTTACGACAAGCATAGGTTGCTGGGGACAAATTCCAACCAGGAATCACAAGATTGTCTGAAATATTGGCTGTGTGTAGTCAGAAGACAAACAACATCACAGAACGTTACAGTGTCTGTTGAAATGAGTCACCTAGATATTCAGGAATCAGATCTCCCAATAGGTCAAATCAGCCATATTTGCATCATTAATATATTTTTTCTATATTTTCAGGCCTGGTGAAAGACGATACCCCGTATCAGCGTTTCGATGCTTAAGACTTTGTAACTATGGCAACAGTCATCAAGTAACCATGGAAACTGGTCTCCAAGAGTCAATTCACCAAAGGGATTTTTCAGCATTCTACCGTGCTTACTTTGTGCTTCATACATTGTGATATTTTGATAGCCAACCAATCAGTTTTTGAATTTTCTGAAATAAGTTCCAGGGCTGGTGACATTTTAGACGTCATAATAATTTTCTCAGAGCTATATACCTGCTGAGAATGTGTGATTTTGAAGGAGACTTTCGCCATCGCTTAGTTGTCTCATAATGTTTTATTAATACATCTACGAGTAGAAATGTTTTCCATGATTATCAGTTCCATGATTGTTACCTCTCCTATTTTGTTCTTTGAAATTTGTTTAACTGTTTGAAGATAAATAGCTTAAACGGCTTGTGAAAAACATATATTCTGACAAATTTGAAAAACTGCTGTAGTAAATAAGAACACTATTTGGCTGTAATTTAATATTGTTCATTTACATCTTGGAACTACAGCCTGTGCCAAAACATTTTGAGTCTTCTTGCCCAAACTCGGCCGTCAGTATAACATATTGTACATTTTAGTGTTATAAGCTGAGCTTACTAGACTTTCTAGATTACTGAGGATTTGGACTAGTGGTTAAAGTTGCAGACGGGGCTTATCAAATATTAGTTTTTACTCACCAGTACTTAGTATGTTGTGAAACAGTATGGGGGTATTTGTGATATAGGTGGTTAGGGAATGAAACATTTGTAGGATTTTCTTATTGACAACTTATAGAACCTGTACATAATGTTCATCAAACTCCATTGTGCATTATACACCCGATAACCGGTAATATAAGCACATACACAACCAGTGCGTGAAACTAAACAGGCTAGTCAAGGAGTCCTTGTCTTTACTGTAATGTTCAAAATTGAAGTTTGCAGGGTATCTAGATTAATATTGAGAATACTATATCAGAAAACACAAAATACCCTGGAAACTATTTATTTAACACTGCTAAGTATTCAATATATTCAAGCAATGGTTTTGTTGAAAATTCTATAAACTTACACTTAACAAATTAATGCCAATTTTTTTTAATGTTTTTCAATCAGAGAAGTGCTGTATTATGTCAAGCTGATATCACATCCTCTGTGCTTCCAATATTACAAGTGTATTCTGTTTGAGAGTATTTAGCGTCCAGGGGCTTGATCACAAAGCATTTGCAGTGTTACGACAGTTGTACGTCTACATTAGACACTGCAATCACTCTGTGGATTGGGTCTTCAGTATTATTTGCGAACCTACAAAGATTCCTGCCATTCTGTGCCTATCTTCATGGACCCAGTGTAGACGACAGGCTCGAGTACATGGGTCAGCAATGTCCGCACATCATCTAGTTGCCATGGTACTTGAATTTCCTGACAATCACAATACATTTCAGGATAATATGAAATTCTTACAGATACGATTCTTTCTAGTTTCTTGTAGCATATATCTGTTTGTTGCCATCCCTACTGTATGTAGATGGTAACGCAGGAAGTGACAGTTCTAAGTGTGGGTGGAGACGTGAAGTCAGACATCATTCTCTAAACCTAGGTATTTGTGGCCATGTGTACTTAGGTTTTCTTTGTCAGTTCGCTGTGTATTTTCCGTTAGTTGTGCCTTCTTTCATGAGTCGAGGGGAGGTGGGGTAGCCTAGTAGTTAAAGCGTTAGCTTGTCACGCCAAAGGCCGGGTTCAATTCCCACATGGGTACGTGTGAAGCCCATTTCTGGTGCCCCCCACCATAATGTTGCTGGAATATTGCTAAAAGCGACGTAAAACATCACTCACTTATTCCTGAGCTCAAATCCCAGACCCACCTTGATTAACATCCTGTGTTTATCACACTGTGCCATGGTAGTTCATTTCACCAAAGTGATAAACTCTTAGACTCCATCAATTTTGGCTTTCCTTCCATGCTGTGATATAACTGAAATTCTATCTCGTTAAACCTAACTCACTCACACTATGTCTCAGAACGCCCTTTCCACAAAGCAATCTTAGCGTTGTTAAAGATGAAATCGTAAGTCCTATACTTAAAGAACGCGTTGTGGAACGGTACTAAGTGTCCCCTTTCACAAAGCAATCATAGCGCTACGATTGTTGTAACGCTCATAGTTTAAAAAAGACTTACGACAGTCATAGCACTAAGATTGTTACATAAAGCGGGCCCCAGACCCTGAACCGTTACTTCCTGTTATGCGTGTGACAGGATGTGCAGACAAGATGTGCAGGGGACATCCTCTCGTCTCATTGTTTACTGGTCCCGCAGGAGCTAAATCTGTCCAACAATTTCATGCTTGTGATTTATGCCAAAAATATTTTTCTACAAATTGACCATTTATATGTAATTATTTTCCTTTTCTATGACATTATGTGTGCTTTTTGTGCTTGTATGTGCAAATATATCATGCTATATCTTCACTGCAGTTTTTTTTAATATTGTTATTGATGATCCAAACTGGTTTGTAACATGGTGAACTTTGGAATTGTGAATGAACCTGTTAGAGGCCATTTTAGTTGTTGGTACTTTTTTTGGTTTAATTTCATGTTAAAAATATAATAGATGCTTCAATATTACTGCTTGCTCAACTCATTCTCTTCACATGGTGTTGGAATTTGTCAAAATAATTTACATTCCTCTCAGTGAAATGTTTATTAGATTGTATTGTGATAAGATAATGAAGGATATCCTACATGTATATCCCCTTCTTTTTCAGTTCACTTGAAAGATTATTTGTATGATACATATGAAAAGAAGCAACACTCACTCTTCATTAGGTGGAATAGCCTATTGGTTAAAGCATTCGCTCGTCAAGCTGAAGACCCTGATTACATTCCCCACATGGGCACAATGTGTGAAGGTTGTGTCTGGTGTCCCCACCGTAATATTGCTGAAATATTGCTGAAAGTGGCTTAAAACCATTCTCACTCACTCACTATTCATTGCACATTTGAAGCCATCTGACTGAATACTTTGGTCCCAGAGGATCTTTATAAAGACATTGATTTTGTTTCTTTACATTGTCAAAAGGTGACAGGTAGTATGGTCAAGACCCTACTAGTCAAATTTACCGGGAGACACCGATGTGGCTTACTTTCAGGTGTATAATGGAATCCATGTTAAATCTTCAGTGCTGATGATATTGCTGAAAAGAACATGAACGTGAAATTACAATCTAGAAACCTTGCTATGGAAATTGACAAAAAAACAGAAAATAAATTCACCTGTGTATTTGATAATTTTGCTGATAGATTTTTGTTTACATTCAAGTTTTATTGTTGTTGTTTTTTCTTCACTATTATAACTTTATGCCCAATTCTTATTGCTCACCACAAAGTGGTAAACGTCTAAGGCCTGCATCACTTCGGGCTTTCTCCCCACATCAAGCTGACAGGCCGTGGTATAACTGACATACTGTCCATTAGGGCATAAAAACCAACTCACTCACTCACTTTTATTGCTCACTTCTTTCATTTGCTAAAGACTCTTGAAAAATATATGTCATGCTTGATTTTTGATGCAATGGTGTGTTTATTTTCCAATTCTGATAGACGATATTCTTTTACAAAAGGAAGGACCTTGGGGTGAAGGGATGATTCTTTTATCAAACATGTTGTATATATATATGTATATGTATACGTCACGCTCAGAGTCACAGTATTTGTGGAAACCTATTCAGTATGAACAGTGCCTTCAGTGGAAACCTTACTATACAGTGTAACTTTATATCCATGTCTGACAAGACTGTATTTCATTTAATATTTCACTAAATACAAATGTTTCTGATTATATATACATCTATATATGTACCCTTCCTTTGGAACTAACATTTGAACACCAGTACCAAAAATACCCTTAAATGCCTTCTTATTTAGTAGCGTGTCGGTTTAATCAATTCTGAAGTTCCTCTGGGTGGAGAAGGTACTGCAGCTCACACGCAGCTAACATGGAGGCCGGGATAGGCTGGTCCCACATTCAGTCGTATTAGGGACCGACCGTTTGATATTCTGGTTGGGGCCTGGGAGTTTGTATGGAGATTAAATATAATTTCAGCTACAGCTACAGAACCAGATATTTTTTATATTCAAAATTATGAGCATGAAATTCTTTTAAAGAAAAACACTTTGCAACAATGTAATTTTTGCTGCTAATTTTTCTCTCTTTTTTAACAGATTGAAGCATGATTATATTTTTTCAAGAATTTCCCCGGGACAATTTATTTACCCCCCAACTTCCAATTCAAATGGTCGGTCTCTTATTACCCTTGGTTGGTCAGTACACATTAAACATGAGCCACCTTATTAACCAACAGTGCTAAAAGTGACTTATAACCTTACTCACTCAGCTTTTCTTCTGTATCTGTACAGTATCTTGACCACATGGGTAATTTTTGGGATAAATACAGTACAATATCCACAGTTCCATAGGTTGTAAAGGCCTTCATCCTTCTTTTTTGTCAGATGATTAATGTGATGTCTTACTGAACATTTTATGTATGCATTGTTACATATATAACCGGATTGTTTCTAGATGTTTCAAGAATCTGATTGAAACAATTGTTTAATTTTGAAACATGTTGACAAGCGCCCGAGTTGTATATGCTGTAAACATTCATGCAAATATTACCAAATGCAAACTCAACACAAATTAATTGTTGTAAATTTTGATGTATTTTTAATCCCTTATTATGTTTCTTGGTTTGTCAGCACTATGCACACACTCCTTCGTTTCATCAGAGTGCGGGGCGGCCGGGTAGCCTAGTGGTTAAAGCGTTCGCTCGTCACGCCGAAGACCCGGGTTCGATTCCCGACATGGGTACAATGTGTGAAGCCCTTTTCTGGTGTCCCCCGCCGTGATATTGCTGGAATATTGCTAAAAGCAGCGTAAAACCATACTCACTCACTCACTCATCAGAGTGGTCTGAGACCTGTATCGCTTCGGTCTTTCCCACATCAAGTTGACATGTGATGATATAACTGAAATACTGTTCAAAGCGATTTGACCCAACTCACTCACTCTCAATTGATGTAGACCATTTGGGCTTGTGGTTGATTTGTAATATATATGATATGGGTATGGTGTGTATCCACTCTGTTTCTTAATACTGGATCAACCTATGCATAATGTCACACACAAAGAACTATGAGTAAAACAACCTACCTTAATTTATGATATTATTATTATATCTCACACCTTGTAAATTAATTAGGGGCGGTCGGGTAGCCTAGTGGTTAAAGCGTTCGCTTGTCATGCCGAAGACCCGGGTTCGATTCCCGACATGGGTACAATGTGTGAAGCCCATTTCTGGTGTCCCCCACCGTGATATTGCTGGAATATTGCTAAAAGCGGCCTAAAACCAAACTCACTCACTCACTCACTGTAAAATAATTACTTCAGTCAAATTTAAGTAATTGCGGCAATCCATGAACTATTGCTAAGAACTAGTCTCAGTATTCAGGTCATGACCATCCTCTCAAAATTTCAGTATTCAAGAGGAGACAACTCTCACTGGCTTTGCACAAGTTCTGCTTGGTTTCTGAAAGTGGGTGTTTAGATGCTTTATTTATTACAAATTAATGAGATGTTTGTCGACAGACTATTGTTATATTGTAAACAGTATTTATCTGAAACCAGTAATCGCTAATCAGATTCTATTTTTGAGGGAAAGTATCCTTACTCAAATGTCCCTTGATGTATGTAGAATATATCAGTATTTTCATACGAGACAGTGCCTTGCTTTATGGAAATAGCCGGTGGTGATCAATATTTTCTGAATTTAACTTACTGTATAGTAAATACCTGCCAAAAAGAGGAAATGACTACCCAACTGTTGAGATCAAACTTTGAAATCTGTCGTATTATAGTTTTGATTGACAAGAAATATTCATTTATGTGAATAAAGATTTTTGATTATTTAAAATGTGTTGTAGTTTCTGAGTAATAAATACTGTGTACGGCCATCCCTGGAACACCCTTGGGATTGAACATATGCCACTCAACATTTGCTAAGGACCAGAATAGTCATCTGTAGTCAAAGGTGTGGTCCTTAGCAAATGTTGGTTGTATATATGTTTGTTTACCCGATATGGGTCTTGTAATGCAACTGCTTGTCATAAGAGGCGATGAACGGGATCGGGTGGTCAGGCTCGCTGACTTGGTTGATGCATGTCATCGATCCCAATTGTGTGGATCGATGCTCATTATATTAATTACTGGATTGTCTGGTCCAGACTCGATTATTTACAGACCGTCGTTATATAGCTGGAATATTGCTGAGTAAGGTGTTAAACAGCAAACCAACCAACCAATCTTGTAATGCAAATAATTAGCATCTGCAAGATATATGGTCACTACCAGTGTCATAGGACCATGCATATATATCCTTAGTCCACTGGATCACAGTCTTGCAGAGTCTTGCAGATAAGAGTGACAATACCCTTTCCATATTCATAAAAGATGGGGCGGTCGGGTAGCCTAGTGGTTAAAGCGTTCGCTCGTCACGCCGAAGAGGGTTCGATTCCCGACATGGGTACAATGTGTGAAGCCCATTTCTGGTGTCCCCCGCCGTGATATGGGAGGAATAATGCTAAAAGCAGCGTCAAACCATACTCACTCACTCACTCACTCACTCATAAAAGATGTCTGTCAAAATCAGAGTCGATTGTACATGTATGATTCTGACTACTTCATGAGCATTTGTTTATGAATCACTGTCAAATATTGATATCAGGTGTTCACGAAAAGGTGAGTATCCTGTCCACCCATCACAAACACATGCAAAGGCAAGTCAATTGTTCAACTGGAAAAATATGGTACATACGGCACAAGTGAAAATAGGGAATTGCATTGGACGTCATTTTTGTCACTGATGAGTCAAACTTGGAAATATCCTACACTGTCAGCCATAACACTTTTTGAAAGATTTACTGAGGCCTTGATTGTTGTAACCTTGATCAAACAATTTTTGAGGAAGAGTCGCATGATGCTCTTTGAAATCTTGGAAAGAGCATCCCGATTGTACCTCAAACGTTGTGAAGTGCAGATACCAAGGGCTGGAGCTGAAGGAACACTGCTTGACGTGAAGGGAAAGTTGACTATTGGGAAGTTGAAGTCATCCCTCTAGTCATACAGCCTTGGGGCGGTCGGGTAGCCTAGTGGTTAAAGCGTTCGTTCGTCACGCTCCTTCCCGACATGGGTACAATGTGTGAAGCCCATTTCTGGTGTCCCCCGCCGTGATATTGCTGGAATATTGCTAAAAAGCGGCGTAAAACCAAACTCACTCACTCACTCATACAGCCTTGTGGAGAGTCTTTTGTCAATCTGAATATTTATGCATAGATCTAGATGAAACAGATAAGGAGGTCTCACTAGTCTCCTTTATTTCTCTAGTTAAGGTGGGTTTGTTTGTTTGTTGTTTAATGCTGCACTCAGCATTATTACAGCTATATGATAGCGGTCTGTAAATAATCGAGTCTGGACCAGACAATCCAGTGATTGACGTCATGAGCATTGATCCACACAATTGGGATACGATGACATGTATCAACCAAGTCAGCGAGCCTGACCACCCAGGGGGGACCCGTTCCACAAAGCGAACTTAGCGCTACGACTGTCGTAAGTCAGTGTTAAAGAATGGGAGTTATGACCGACTTAGCGCTAAGATCGCTTTGTGGAACGGGGCCAAGGTTGGTAAAACAGGAAGGGAATCCCTGAAGCTTAAGTTAAACTTCTTGGCCAAATTACCTTCTTTGAACTTTGCCAATCGGAGCAGAAATTCCGATCCATATGCATAATGAAACAGATCAGCAAGAAGGGGAGCCCAAAAGGTGCCTATGTGGATGCCAGCTTCTTTCCTCCATGTCTTACATCTAAAGTTTATACAGGTGTTATTGCATCTTCCCGAGGCAAGGGAGTTGACTGACTGTAAAAGTCCAGTGTCCACTCCCTTCCCTCAGGAAGGTGTTATCATTGAGTCCAGCATTTCACATACTTGTTTGCTCAGTGAACTTCGATGGCGTTTGCTTTCATTGTTGACAAATTGCCCTGGACCTCTGGAGATAGAAATACAAACCATCAGCATCTACAAGATACCATAATGGTCACGACCAATGTACTTTTTTAAAGGAGCCTTAGTCCTCCAGATCACAGGGTATGTAATGCAAAAACTAAGATCACTACCAGTGTCAGCACTTTGTGAAGGTTCCGGGGTAGAAAGGTGACTATGCTTGTCGTAAAAGGCGACTAACGGGATCGGGTGGTCAGGCTGCTGACTTGGTTGATGCATGTCATCGATCCCAATTGCGTGGATCGATGCTCATGATATCAATCACAGGATTGTCTGGTCCAGACTCGATTATTTACAGACCGCCGTCACATAGCTGGAATATTGCTGAGTGCAGCGTTAAACAACAAACCAACCAACCAACCAACTTTGTGAATGTAGCTGTAATTTAGTTGAAAGTCTAGCCCATAGATCACTGGGTCTTGTGATGCAAAACATTAGCAGCTACAAGATATATGGTCACTAGCAGTGCCTGAGTACTATGTTAAAGGCTCATCAGTACTATGACATTGCTAGTTACCGTATATCTTGTAGCTGCAAATGTCTGTTACAAACCCATGTGCACTAGATAAATGCCTGTCAACAGTTAACAGAACCTGCCATTTCAACACGGAGGTGAGGTGAACTGGGGTTAAACGTCGCGTCCAAGATTATTGCACTTACATAGCGACATGCATGCGTGCGTGCGTGCGTGTGTGGATGCCTGTACTAGTCGGACTAATGCCAATTTCACAGTCCCAGCCCACTGAGATACCATGCCGCAGTTTAACATGAATACCCCACTCAGACACAGTATACTGACTCAGAGCCGACCAGTCCTTGCTTTTTGCTCTTAATGCCTAGCGCCAAGCAGGGCAACAACAAGTACCATCTTTTAACGTCTTTTGGTATGACGCGGCCGGGCATTGAACCACCGACCTTGCGCTCTCCGCGCGGACCTCCTACCGCTGGACCACGGAGGCGGTCATATTACAACATGGAGGTGAGGTGAGGTTGTTAGGCTGGTTTGGGGAGATCAGAAATATCATCGCAGTCTTGTTGTTTTCTGTACCTTTGACCCCCGTGCAGATTCCAGTTAGCATTGTTCTTCAGCAACCAATGACTAACGGATCAGATGTTCGGCTCGCTGTCTTGGTCGATGCATGTCATCGTACCCCAATTGCGTTGATCGATGTCCATGATGTCAATCACTGGATTGTCTGGTCCAGACTCGATTATGTACAGACATTCGTAATAAAGATGGAATATTGCTGACAAACAAACATCTTTAGCTACCTTTACCAATCTCATTTCAATCAGATTTAAACTTTAATGGATAGCACTTAGGGTATGTTATTGTAACATATATTCTGAAGAGATTGTTAACCCGATAGACTGAAAGAACACATTGGGGGACTATTTGCCACAATTACATTCTTGTTAGTCCTCGTGGACACGTTTCATTGGGACCAGTGATTGTTCACTGTTGGCAGGGGGGAAGGGTGGCCCAGTCGTCTAAGGCGCCGCGATAAGCTGTGCAGAGTTGCGTCCCTTGGGCACGCCAGAAACCTTTGACTGTGGTTTCGAATCCTGGTTTGCCCCGATTATGTTTCTAAGGTTGTCAGCACCATACCCGTGCTCGTGCGTTTCACCGAAGTGGTAAACATCTAAGACCTGCATCACTTCGGCTTTCCTCCCACATCAAGCTGACACGCCGCGATATAACTGTAATACTGTTAAAAGCGGCGTTAATACCGAACTCACTCACTGTTGGCTGCCTTAAAGAAGGTCAAGGTCAACGTTGGACGCCATATTTAATCAGGAATTGTAATTATTCACTCACTCACTTATGCTCAATCAATGGATATATGAAACACGTTCCTTTATCACCATGTCGTGCATAAAGCACAGTTTGCATGGTGTTTCTAAGAGTAGCTGTGTTTGGGAATACATGACCGGTTAAACACTCTCCATTTGGTTTGATCTTGGTTGACTGTTGTAAAAGGCCATGGCCATTCAGTGTCACCGCTGATGAGTTTGCAACGGGAGCCACCGGTGGTGAGGTGAGGTGAAATGGTGTGAGCGTGCGTGCGTGCGTGCGTGCGTGTGCTCGCCGGGCGGACGCTCTACCACTAGACCACGGAGGCGGTGTGCCACCGGTGGGGCAGTATACGCTACCTTTTCGAGAACCACAGCTATCATCCCTATTTGATAGTGAGCATTCATAAACAGATACGTATGATATAGACGGAGTACAATGGTCTCTGCTTGAAGTAAATATTTCTTATGATGATGGATGTTTTGTCTTAAATGACGGAAATTGTCACTTGGGAATTTTACAAAACGCCAAAATATTTTAGTCCTTTTAGAATCATTTTTTCCGTATATTATATTATGATAACGAATTCCAAACATTTATATGCTCTGTTTCATCGCCCTCACTGAACATGATAGGATAAAAAGAAACCTAAAATCAATGTAAAAAAAATTATATTCTCCAGATGTATTGGTTTCTACTCGTAGCATAATTAGTCTTTTGTGGTGTTTTCAAGCCCTTTTAAACGTAATAACTTTCGGTCAATCTGACGGAAAAATAATTGTAAAGTGACTGAAATATAATGTAAATTTTCACACACACACACACACACACACACATATATATATATATATACTGAACCGCAAAAGAAACGTCACCATGGATAGATATATAAGAAACCTTATTTGTCCAAACACTGTAAACATACTTTGAGACATATTAAAAAGATGAAACTTGGCAAAACTGATCATCAAGGTTGAAATTAAAGTGTCAAATGTACTTAAAGTGAAACACAAAACTAGTCTCTGAGAAAATGGCATCACAAGTCAGTATCTCGTGTGTC